TACTTCACACCAAATGCTGACATATAGGCCTACTGTGTATATTTTTGACATTTTCTAGCACGCCTTAAAATCAAGAAGGCCTTGCAACTGCCCATGTGGGAGTCCCTACCCCCAGGGTGGGAATCACTGATCTAGAGTGGTCTACAAATGCCACCCAGCTACCACCTCAGTGTGGTGTAAAATGCTTTCAAATTGAACACATTAATTTAGATTAATAAAATAAAAGATGTGTTTTCCATGTGTTTGGAAAATGTTTGCACATCTTATTAAAAGTTCATTGATTTTCCTTTAGATTTGTATTCAATGCTTTACTTATGTGCCACAATAATGTTTTTGACTTCAAAAAACATTTTCCAGGGGTCAGCAACCTTTACAATCTAAAGAGCCATTATTGACAGAAAACCTGTCTGGAGGCGTGAAACGTATTAGAGCCTTAGGCTAATCTCTCGCTGCAGATCAAACATAGTGTTAAGCCAGCAGCATTGGTGGTGAAAGGAAACAAATCTGTCCATGCACTATTAAATTCTCTGTTTTCCCTCAAGACTTGGATTTCCATAGCTAGCCTAGCATGGGAAACTCAAGAATAGTGGCCACCACTATTAAGGTTCAGCAATATATAGAGGAAAAGGCACCAGGTCAGGAAGTAATGTATGACACACATTAAGTTGTGTTTTGTTAAAATGTTAGTTTTAAACTTTTTACAGTTGGAGAATGTAAGAATCACTGGTCTAGATCAATGATAAATGAAGATGTCATTTTTGTATTTTTTTCCCCTCTCAAAGCCACAGGCAGCCACTAGAGAGGGGCTAAAGAGTCGCAGGTTGCCTACCCCTGACCTAATCTATGTGACACTTCACATGTCACAGATTCACTGGTTGTTATCACCAAAGTACAACAAGAAGTAGCTCACCTTGGGGTTCTCCAATAGCTTACCTGGTAGAGTGTGCCTTTCTGAGTGATTCTAGTAAAGGACAAGCCCAAAAATAATTTTTATGAATAAAAACTTTTACATACTATGTACTAGGAACATACTTTAACAGGAGATGTGTTTTCTGCTGCCTTGACCTTTTTCTCAGCAAATATTTGTACTGTCTTTGCAGCAGGAGCTGAGGTGTAACTAATAACTTTAATAGCTTTGTCTATTGAAGTGTCCCTGTAAACCATGCCAGGTTAGCATACATAAAACCAGGACCCCTGAAACCGGGGTACCAAAATCACTGATGTGCCGTTTATGAACGAACATGTTCCGTCTGAGAGCCAATTTCTTGCTTTTTTTTGTAGTTTTTCTGTATGAATACAAGACAGAATAGTAGGATGAGCCTATAACGTACGTGTCAGCCATTTTGTCATGAAGTAATAGGGTAAACACAGAGGTTACCAATGCCACTAAAGGTTCCATTCAAATCAAACAGTCAGGATGCTGCTATTGTGCATGTTGGCTTACTGGAAATTCTCTGCTACAGTAAATTGTATTAAGAATTAAATAGTTTCATTTGTAACAGCTGTCTTTACTCTACTATTCCATGTCACAGTGGCTGCTGTGAAAAGGGTTACTGATGCAGCCATTAATACAATTATTAGTTTCATTTGTGCTTTTGCTGATTTTACAAGTCAAAATGTCTACTGTGAAAAACATCCATTATGACCTCAGGTTGCCGTCTTCGCAGCTCAATAATGTAATGTTCACCATTATTTTTGGGCCTTTTTGTTGCCTTTATTTGATAGGTACAGCCGAAGACAGACAGGAGGGGGGGCAGAGAGAGTGGGGATGACATGCTGCAAAGGGCCACAGGTCTGATTCAAACCCTGGGCCGCTGCAGCAAGGCCTTAGCACATGGGTCGCCAGCTCTACCGACTGAGCTAACCGGGCGCCCATGTTCACCATTATTTTATCTCTGAAGTAGAAAAGATAACAACATCACAGCACAGTGCAAGTTCTGCCTTCCAGCTGTGGAAATGGTCTATCACAGGGGTCTCAAACTCTTTTTTTAAATCTACATTTTTTATCATCTTTGTTGTTTGCAGCTAATGACTGATACACGCTCTCTCCTCATGTGTTTTTATGCATTTGTGGGCACCTTTGACCTTTGCCATTATCTTGAGCCCAACAAAATACATTTTTAAAAATAGAATTGGGTTTTTATATGAATTGTATATGAAGGAGTAGACACACATAAGATTCTCTAATTAGGGGGAATAATGAAACACAGGTGGAACCAATTGCGGCGGGGCAAACAATCAAACTGGAGGGAAAGTGGCAGGAAGTGGTCTGAAAGGTAAGTAACTAAGTAAAACAGGAAACATTTTAATACTTTTCTTTCTGTTGTCTTATAGATGTTAATATTGTGATACTTGGATTAGGTTACTGACTACATTTCAACAGGTAATTATTAATTGTATCAGATGACATTTTTAAAGTAACCATCCCAACTCTATGTATTGTCCTGTATTATGGAAAGGTAAACATCAACATTGCATACGTAACATATTGTCAAGCAACCTGAATTCCAGGCAACTCCTGTCAGGAGACTTTTAAACAAGACTATGAACACTACTCTACATATATCAACAACAACAATAGTAATAAATAATAATAGTAATAACAAATAAAAGGTACTTCAAAGACCAACTTTTCTTGTCACAAGACAAATGAACAATGTGTCTGAGTAAAATGCCACCCCCCACAGTTGGGGGTATAGGTGCTGGTCTGTGAACAGTTTGTTGAATAAGTCACTATAAATTGTGTGACCCGATGAGGGAGCCAAGACCAGAATTTAAAGCTTTACTCATTCAGAGAGTCAGCGTTGTATAACAGCAGCTGTGCACATACTGTAATTCTAGTAATGTTATGAAAACAATGATGTCTTTAAAAAGAGTTAAAGAGACAGGTATTGACTATGACAAGGGTATTATATTTGTTTTAACATCAAATGTTAAATTGTTTATTTTAGAAGGATTCATTAAAGAATACAAAGAAGGGCACTTCAAACAGATCTCGCGTTAAATGTAAGCAAAACCAGAAAGTCAAGGGTTATATAGGTATAAAAGTGCAGAAATTGTCATATAGCCTTAAGTGAAAGTGATTTTAGCGAGTCGGATAAAATAAATAATTTTAGTACAAACATAATCATTTGGAAAAATATTAATATCAGTGATGTTGGAAGAAAATATGCCTACATTCCATTTGCAGGTGTAAAAATAATAAAAACACATAGGCTATATTGTCTTGCAGCTTTAGAATAAACCGACTGGGACAAATATCTTATCCTGCTTAAATAGTGCAAATAGCCAAAACCACACAAACATACACACATAATCATTAATATACATCTCAAGCCCAATTAACCTGCACACAGAATGTCTTAGACTTCCTTCTCTGGACTGAAATATACATTGGTGTTGTTCACAGTACATTAAAACAAATATGCAGAGCTCTGGTTTTTCAATCAATTAGAAAGCCACATTCTAAGCTTAATAAATCAATCCTTGATGGCACTAGATAACACACGTTCAGTAGATATTACTGTGCTTTTTGTCCCTAATACTTGAAAGATTTAATTTCCCTGATTCGGGGTACAATCACAAACGTTATACACCTTGTATGAGGCACTTACTAAGGTTAATCGTTGCCAATGGTTTGTGTGAAACAGTTCCTTATTGGTATATAATAAAAGGGAGTGGGTGAGAGAGAAACATAGTTAACTAGTTTCCTGGATACCAGGCTCGTCAATATGGCTGCTCCTCCACTTACGGAGCATGGGAATTATTGACACCACTTAAAAACCTCTTTGACAGGTCAGACTACTTCGTTTGAGCTTCCCATTGTGCCATGCAAATCATTTGACACTTGAGCCACATACACATTGCCACTATTCACATTCCTGTAAAACAGCCAACAGCATAGTAATGACAATACTGTTTGGGGATTATAGAGAGCGGTAATGGGTCTTAATACAATGACATTTGAGGAGTTGTGATCAAGCTGTTGAAAACTCAAAGGAAAGATCTCTTTTCAGAAATGATGAAACGGTTGAGGTGAACTGCCCCTTTACATTGTGCTGAAACAATACCACCACAACCTTCAATTGCTGTCTTTATACATTCACTTTGGACTATTTCTGTCCACATGAAGTATCTATGGGGCAACTCTAACCCTCCGGATCTTTGTCACTGTTACTGTGTGGGCTGTTCCATTCAGAAGATGGTCAAAAAACTAAAAATGGAGAGAAAACACAGAGAATACACATCAGAAGATCTATTTCATCCTCTTCATCCCATCCTTTATATTACATGTATTCATTATCATTGATAAAGTTTTACACTTTCTGTTTGTCATACCTGTTTAACACGTTCAGTGATGGTTCCATTGCTGACATCTCCAATAGAGGTTATCTTCATCTGTAGATGTGCCAATGATTTCAAGCCTGTAGGGATTCAAAAACTTTTATTAAAATTAATTAAACAATAATTTCAAAGGTCATTGCTAACAGAATTCCTGGTAAATGCATGTCCTTGAACATAACTATTGCAGTTCTATTATTACAATTAATGGTAATATCAGCACATAATAACAAGAGAAGACAAATGAGAAGGCATTCGAGATACATTTTTTATTTTATTTTCCAAACAATTCATGAAGATTAACTTTTCTACGGCAACTAAAATCACAATGTCATGGATCAATGTCCAAAGAAAATCACTGCATTATAGTCACATACCTTGGGATGAACTGATTGAGGATATGCTGGCTGAAGTATTGGTTGTTGGAGTGAGAGTTGTGGTGGCGGCAGTTGTGGTAGTTGGAGCCAGAGTTTTGGTTGCTGCAGATGTGGTTGGTGGAGCCAGAGTTGTTGTGGTTGGACCCAGGGTTGTAGTGGTAAAAGAAGGAGTTGGGGTGGCTGCAGTTGTTGTGGTTGTAGCCGGAGTTGTAGTGGTTGGAGCCAGAGTTGTGGTGGCTGTATTTGTGGTGGTTATTGTTGGACTGGTAGTTGTAGTGGTTGGAACCGCAGTTGTGGTGGCTGCAGCTGTAGTAGTAGGAGCTGGAGTTGTGGTGGCTGCAGTTGTTGTGGTTGGATAAAGAGTTTTGGTGGTCGTAGGCAGAGTTGTCGTTGTCTGAGGCAGAGTTGTGGTGGCTGCAGTTTTAGTGGTTGGTGCCAGAGTTGTAGTGGTTGGAGCCAGAGTTGCAGAGGTTGGACCAACAGTTGTGATGATCGGGACCGGAGTTTTGGTGGTTGCAGTTGTTGTGTTTAAAGCTGGAGTTTTTGTGGTTGTAGCCGGAGTTGTAGTGGTTGGAGCTAGAGTTGTGGTGGCTGTATTTGTGGTGGTTATTGTTGGACTGGGAGTTGTAGTGGTTGGAGCCACAGTTGTAGGGGTTACAGCAGCATTTGTGGCAGCTGCAGCTGTTATGGTAGGAGCTGGAGTTGTAGTGGCTGCAGTTGTTGCGGTTGGAACTGGAGTTGTAGTGGTCAGAGCCGGAGTTGTGGTGACTGAAATTGTGATGGTTTGAGCTGGAGTTGTGGTGGTTGGAGCAGGAGTTGTAGTGGTTGGATCTGGAGATGTAGTGGTTGGAGCCGGACTTGTGGTTGCTACAGTTGTGCTGGTTGGAGCTGGAGTTGTAGTAGTTGGAGCCAGAGTTGGGGTTGTTGGACCCGGAGTTGTGGTGGTTGCAGTTGTGGTGGTTGGAGCTAGAATTGTGGTGGTTGGAGTCAGAGTTGTGGTGGTTGGAGCCGGAGTTGTGGTGGTTGGAGATGGAATGGTAGTAGTTTGAGCCGGAGTTATAATAGACTGAGTGAGAGTTGTAGTGGTTGGAGCAGGAGTTGTGGTGGTTGGAGCTGGAGTTGTGGTGGTTTGAGTCGGAGTTGTGGTGGTTTGAGCCGGAGTTGGTGTGGCTGCAGTTGGGGTAGTTGAAGCAGGAGTTGTAGTAGTTGGAGCTGAAATTGTAGTAGTTTGTGCCTGAGTTGTTGTGGTTGGAGCAGTAGTTGTGGTGGTTGGAGCTGGAGTTGTGGTGGTTGGAGCCGGAGTTGGTGTGGCTGCAATTGTGGTGGTTGTAGCGGGAGTTATGGTGGCTGCAGTTATGGTAGTTGGAGCCAGAGTTGTGGTAGTTGGATATGGAGTTGTAGTGGTTGGAGCTGGACTTGTTTTGGCTGCAGTTGTGGTGGTTGGAGCCGGAGTTGTTGTGGCTACAGTTGTGTTGGATGGAGCCAGAGTTGTGGTAGTTGGAGCCGGAGTTGTGGTGGCTGCAGTTGTGGTAGTTGGAGCTGGAGTTGTTGTGGTTCCAACTTGATTCGTGGTGGTTGGAGCTGGACTTGTGGTGGCTGCAGTTGTGGTGGTTGGAGCTGGAGTTGTAGTAGTAGGAACTGGAGTTGTAGTCATTGGACCCGGGGTTGGGGTTGTTGCACCCGGAGTTGTGGTTTCTGTAGTTGTGGTAGTTGGAGCTGGAGTAGTAGTAGTTGGAGCCGGAGTTGTAGTGGTTGGAGCTCCAGTTGTGGTGGTTGGAGAAGGAGTTGTGGTGGTTGGATCTGGAGATGTACTGGTTGGAGCCGGACTTGTGGTTGCTGCAGTTGTGCTGGTTGGAGCTGGAGTTGTAGTAGTTGGAGCCAGAGTTGTACTTGTTGGACCCGGAGTTGGGGTTGTTGGACCTGGAGTTGTGGTGGTTGCAGTTGTGGTGGTTGGAGATGGAATGGTAGTAGTTTGAGCCGGAGTTATAATAGATTGAGTGAGAGTTGTAGTGGTTGGAGCAGGAGTTGTGGTGGTTGGAGCTGGAGTTGTGGTGGTTTGAGCCGGAGTTGTGGTGGTTTGAGCCGGAGTTGGTGTGGCTGCAGTTGGGGTAGTTGAAGCAGGAGTTGTAGTAGTTGGAGCTGAAATTGAAGTAGTTTGTGCCGGAGTTGTTGTGGTTGGAGCAGGAGTTGTGGTGGTTGGAGCTGGAGTTGTGGTGGTTGGAGCCGGAGTTGGTGTGGCTGCAATTGTGGTGGTTGTAGCAGGATTCTTGGTGGCTGCAGTTGTGGTGGTTGGAGCCAGAGTTGTGGTAGTTTGATATGGAGTTGTAGTGGTTGGAGTTGGACTTTTTTTGGCTGCAGTTGTGGTGGTTGGAGCAGGAGTTGTAGTGGTTTGAGTTGGAGTTGTGGTGGTTGGAGCCGGAGTAGGTGTGGCTGCAATTGTGGTGGTTGTAGCGGGAGTCTTGGTGGCTGCAGTTGTGGTGGTTGGAGCCAGAGTTGTGGTAGTTGGATATGGAGTTGTAGTGGTTGGAGCTGGACGTGTTTTGGCTGCAGTTGTGGTGGTTGGAGCAGGAGTTGTAGTGGTTTGAGTTGGAGTTGGGGTGGTTGGAGCCGGAGTTGTTGTGGCTACAGTTGTTGTGGTTGGATAAAGAGTTTTGGTGGTCGTAGGCAGAGTTGTCGTTGTCTGAGGCAGAGTTGTGGTGGCTGCAGTTTTAGTGGTTGGTGCCAGAGTTGTAGTGGTTGCAGCCAGAGTTGCAGAGGTTGGACCAACAGTTGTGATGATCGGGACCGGAGTTTTGGTGGTTGCAGTTGTTGTGTTTAAAGCTGGAGTTTTTGTGGTTGTAGCCGGAGTTGTAGTGGTTGGAGCCGGAGTTGTGGTGGTTGCAGTTGTGGTGGTTGGAGATGGAATGGTAGTAGTTGGAGCCGGAGTTATAATAGATTGAGTGAGAGTTGTAGTGGTTGGAGCAGGAGTTGTGGTGGTTGGAGCTGGAGTTGTGGTGGTTTGAGCCGGAGTTGTGGTGGTTGGAGCCGGAGTTGGTGTGGCTGCAATTGTGGTGGTTGTAGCGGGGGTTATGGTGGCTGCAGTTGTGGTGGTTGGAGCCAGAGTTGTGGTAGTTGGATATGGAGTTGTAGTGGTTGGTGCTGGACTTGTTTTGGCTGCAGTTGTGGTGGTTGGAGCCGGAGTTGTGGTAGTTGGAGCCGGAGTTGTGGTGGCTGCAGTTGTGGTAGTTGGAGCTGGAGTTGTTGTGGTTGCAACTTGAGTCGTGGTGGTTGGAGCTGGACTTGTGGTGGCTGCAGTTGTGGTGGTTGGAGCTGGAGATTTTGTGGTTGGACCAGGAGTTATAGTAGTTTTAGCTGGAGTTGTAGTGGATGGAGCTGGAGTTGTGGTGGCTGCAGTTGTGGTGGTTGGAGCAAGCGTTGTTGTGGTTAGACCAGGAGTTGTTGTAGCTGCAGTTGTGGTGGTTGGAGCTGGAGTTGCAGTGGTTGGAGACGGAGTTGTGGTGGCTGCAGTTGTGGTGGTTGGAGATGGAATTGTAGAAGTTGGAGCCGGAGTTATAATAGATTGAGCTAGAGATGTAGTGGTTGGAGCAGGAGTTGTGGTGGTTGGAGCTCCAGTTGTGGTGGTTGGAAACGGCGTTGTTTTGGTCTGACCCAGACTTGTGGTGGTTGGAGCAGGAGTTGTGGTGGTTGGATCTGGAGATGTAGTGGTTGGAGCCGGACTTGTGGTTGCTACAGTCGTGCTGGTTGGAGCTGGAGTTGTAGTAGTTGGACCCGGAATTGGGGTTGTTGGACCCGGAGTTGTGGTGGTTGCAGTTGTGGTGGTTGGAGCCGGAGTTGTGGTGGTTGCAGTTGTGGTGGTTGGAGATGGAATGGTAGTAGTTTGAGCCGGAGTTATAATAGATTGAGTGAGAGTTGTAGTGGTTGGAGCAGGAGTTGTGGTGGTTGGAGCTGGAGTTGTGGTGGTTTGAGTCGTAGTTGTGGTAGTTTGAGCCAGAGTTGGTGTGGCTGCAGTTTGGGTAGTTGAAGCAGGAGTTGTAGTAGTTGGAGCTGAAATTGTAGTAGTTTGTGCTGGAGTTGTTGTGGTTGGAGCAGTTGTTGTGTTGGTTGGAGCTGGAGTTGTGGTGGTTGGAGCCGGAGGTAGTGTAGCTGCAATTGTGGTGGTTGTAGTGGGAGTTATGGTGGCTGCAGTTGTGGTGGTTGGAGCCAGAGTTGTGGTAGTTGGATATGGAGTTGTAGTGGTTGGAGCTGGACTTGTTTTGGCTGCAGTTGTGGTGTTTGGAGCTGGAGTTTTTGTGGTTGGACCAGGAGTTATAGTAGTTTTAGCTGGAGTTGTAGTGGATGGAGCTGGACTTGTTGGGGCTACAGGTGTGTTGGTTGGAGCCAGAGTTGTGGTAGTTGGAGCCGGAGTTGTGGTGGCTGCAGTTGTGGTGGTTGGAGCTGGAGTTGTAATAGTTGGAACTGGAGTTGTAGTCATTGGACCCGGGGTTGGGGTTGTTGCACCCGGACTTGTGGTTGCTGCAGTTGTGCTGGTTGGAGCTGGAGTTGTAGTAGTTGGAGCCAGAGTTGTACTCGTTGGACCCGGAGTTGGGGTTGTTGGACCCGGAGTTGTGGTGGTTGCAGTTGTGGTGGTTGGAGTCAGAGTTGTGGTGGTTGGAGCCGGAGTTGTGGTGGTTGGAGCCGGAGTTTTGGTGGTTGCAGTTGTGGTAGTTGGAGCTGGAGTTGTCGTGTTTGGAGCTAGAGCTTTGGTAATGGGATCTGGTTTTGCAGTGGTTGAAGCTGGAGTTGTAGTGGCCGCAGTTATGGTGATTGCAGATGGAATGGTAGTAGTTTGAGCCGGAGTTATAATAGATTGAGTGAGAGTTGTAGTGGTTGGAGCAGGAGTTGTGGTGGTTGGAGCTGGAGTTGTGGTGGTTTGAGCCGGAGTTGTGGTGGTTTGAGCTGGAGTTGGTGTTGCTGCAGTTGGGGTAGTTGAAGCAGGAGTTGTAGTAGTTGGAGCTGAAATTGAAGTAGTTTGTGCCAGGGTTGTTGTGGTTGGAGCAGGAGTTGTGGTGGTTGGAGCTGGAGTTGTGGTGGTTGGAGCCGGAGTTGGTGTGGCTGCAATTGTGGTGGTTGTAGCGGGAGTCTTGGTGTCTGCAGTTGTGGTGGTTGGAGCCAGAGTTGTGGCAGTTTGATATGGAGTTGTAGTGGTTGGAGCTGGACTTGTTTTGGCTTCAGTTGTGGTGGTTGGAGCAGGAGTTGTAGTGGTTTGAGTTGGAGTTGTGGTGGTTGGAGCTGGACTTGTGGTGGCTTCAGTTGTGGTGGTTGGAGCTGGAGTTTTTGTGGTTGGACCAGCAGTTATAGTAGTTTTAGCTGGAGTTGTAGTGGATGGAGCTGGAGTTGTGGTGGCTGCAGTTGTCGTGGTTGGAGCAAGCGTTGTTGTCGTTAGACCAGGAGTTGTTGTAGCTGTAGTCGTGGTGGTTGGAGACGGAGTTGTGGTGCCTGCAGTTGTGGTGGTTGGAGACTGAATTGTAGAAGTTGGAGCCGGAGTTATAATAGATTGAGCTAGAGATGTAGTGGTTGGAGCAGGAGTTGTGGTGGTTTTAGCTCCAGTTGTGGTGGTTGGAAACAGCGTTGTTTTGGTCTGACCCAGACTTGTGGTGGTTGGAGCAGGAGTTGTGGTGGTTGGATCTGGAGATGTAGTGGTTGGAGCTGGACTTGTGGTTGCTACAGTTGTGCTGGTTGGAGCTGGAGTTGTAGTAGTTGGACCCGGAGTCGGGGTTGTTGGACCCAGAGTTGTGGTGGTTGCAGTTGTGGTAGTTGGAGCTAGAATTGTGGTGGTTGGAGTCAGAGTTGTGGTGGTTGGAGCCGGAGTTGTGGTGGTTGCAGTTGTGGTGGTTGGAGATGGAATGGTAGTAGTTTGAGCTGGAGTTATAATAGATTGAGTGAGAGTTGTAGTGGTTGGAGCAGGAGTTGTGGTGGTTGGAGCTGGAGTTGTGGTGGTTGGAGCCGGAGTTGTTGTGGCTACAGTTGTGTTGGTTGGAGCCAGAGTTGTGGTTGTTGGAGCCGGAGTTATGGTGGCTGCAGTTGTGGTGGTTGGAGCCAGAGTTGTGGTAGTTGGATATGGAGTTGTAGTGGTTGGAGCTGGACTTGTTTTGGCTGCAGTTGTGGTGGTTGGAGCTGGAGTTTTTGTGGTTGGACCAGGAGTTATAGTAGTTTTAGCTGGAGTTGTAGTGGATGGAGCTGGACTTGTTGGGGCTACAGTTGTGTTGGTTGGAGCCAGAGTTGTGGTAGTTGGAGCCGGAGTTGTGGTGGCTGCAGTTGTGGTGGTTGGAGCTGGAGTTGTAATAGTTGGAACTGGAGTTGTAGTCATTGGACCCGGGGTTGGGGTTGTTGCACCCGGACTTGTGGTTGCTGCAGTTGTGCTGGTTGGAGCTGGAGTTGTAGTAGTTGGAGCCAGAGTTGTACTCGTTGGACCCGGAGTTGGGGTTGTTGGACCCGGAGTTGTGGTGGTTGCAGTTGTGGCGGTTGGAGTCAGAGTTGTGGTGGTTGGAGCCGGAGTTGTGGTGGTTGGAGCCGGAGTTTTGGTGGTTGCAGTTGTGGTAGTTGGAGCTGGAGTTGTCGTGTTTGGAGCTAGAGCTTTGGTAATGGGATCTGGTTTTGCAGTGGTTGAAGCTGGTGTTGTAGTGGCCGCAGTTATGGTGATTGCAGATGGAATGGTAGTAGTTTGAGCCGGAGTTATAATAGATTGAGTGAGAGTTGTAATGGTTGGACCAGGAGTTGTGGTGGTTGGAGCCGGAGTTGTGGTGGTTGGAGCCGGAGTTGTGGTGGTTTGAGCCGGAGTTGGTGTGGCTGCAGTCGGGGTAGTTGAAGCAGGAGTTGTAGTAGTTGGAGCTGAAATTGAAGTAGTTTGTGCCGGAGTTGTTGTGGTTGGAGCAGGAGTTGTAGTGGTTTGAGTTGGAGTTGTGGTGGTTGGAGCCGGAGTTGATTTGTGGCTACAGTTGTGTTGGTTGGAGCCAGAGTTGTGGTACTTGGAGCTGGAGTTGTTGTGGTTGCAACTTGATTTGTGGTGGTTGGAGCTGGACTTGTGGTGGCTGCAGTTGTGGTGGTTGGAGCTGGAGTTTTTGTGGTTGGACCAGGAGTTATAGTAGTTTTAGCTGGAGTTGTAGTGGATGGAGCTGGAGTTGTGGTGGCTGCAGTTGTGGTGGTTGGAGCTGGAGTTGTAGAAGTTGGAGCCACAGTTGCAGTGGTTGGAGCTCCAGTTGTGGTGGTTGGAGAAGGAGTTGTGGTGGTTGGATCTGGAGATGTAGTGGTAGGAGCCGGACTTGTGGTTGCTGCAGTTGTGCTGGTTGGAGCTGGAGTTGTAGTAGTTGGAGCCAGAGTTGTACTCGTTGGACCCGGAGTTGGGGTTGTTGGACCCGGAGTTGTGGTGGTTGCAGTTGTGGTGGTTGGAGCTAGAATTGGGGTGGTTGGAGTAAGAGTTGTGGTGGTTGGAGCCGGAGTTGTGGTGGTTGCAGTTGTGGTAGTTGGAGCTGGAGTTGTTGTGGTTGGAGCTAGAGCTT